ATTACTCAGTCTACATATATTGTTCTCAGTTTTGTCACCTGTAGTACTAAATGCCAGGGGAAAACTGAAGGAGGGGATTTAGCATGATGTTTGTATAGTAAATGTTTCTGACAACATATAGTGTAAATTGGCTACCCCAGAATACTTTGAAAAGGTAGTATCAGTTGAATGCTGAAAGTTAAATAGTAGGGGAGAAAGAGCCAGGTGTCAGGTGAAACTAAATATCCTAAGCAGAAAGGGAAAGCCAAAGCAAAGGCATTTGCATAACAAAACAAGACAATTTTCGAAGTTTCATTTGTGTTCTCACTGACACGTAGTAGGGGTATACAGAGATACCACTGAACTAAGTGCTAGGAAGAAGCTGAAGGAGGGTACCAGAATCTATTTTGAAAGTCCATTTGTATTAAAGGGTTCCTAAGAAAACAACTTTAGAAAAGAACTGAAGGAAGGAAGTTAGCGTTGAGAGTGATATGAAAGGTGGAGTGAAAGGTGTATGCTGGAAATATGCCCTCAGTGCGCTCTGCTGGAAGAGAAGCCCTGGGATTGAGCCCCATGTTGCAGTTAGAAAAATAACAACATGTACATATACCTGCTTGAGGTACCTGTTGAGGCCTTCAACGCTTGGAAAGTAAGTCATATACCATGAAGTGTCCAGTATGCCAAAACAAAACTGAGAGCCACGCTGAAACAAACTCTTTTATTTTGTTTGATATTATATTATATATTGTTGTCCCATCATTGGAAGTGTTCAAAGCCCCATCAGGTCAGATGGGGCTTTGAGCAACCTGATCTACTGAAAGATGTGCCTGCCCATGGCAAGGGGATTGGACTAAATGATCTTTAAAGGTCCCTTACAACCCAAACCATTCTATGATTATATTTCTATTTTCAAAATAGGACACGGACTTGGACTCATCCTACCTAATTTAGGCTTGTAACTGCAGGATCTGTATTATAATTCTTGTTTTTCTATTCCTTCTGTATTCAGTGGAGAGAAGGGCAGGGAGTAATTCAGTCTATATATTATTTGAGTCACATTTTGGAGTTACTTATCTTTCTACTGGTGGGAGGGGGAATGCAGGGATCTCTCTACTGACTATCGAGAGTATAATCACCTCCTGTACTCAAATGCCAAAGTGAAATGAATCCAAACCAAAAAATGCATGGAGCTGATGCCCAGCATAGGTTTCATTGCAAAGAGAAAATGGTATTTTAGAGAAAAAAGATTGGAAGAAGACAAGAGATGAACATTTTGAAGCCTGGGGGTATTCTGATCTGTATTTTAAGCTGAACTTTTTAGGTAAAGCCATAATTAGCACATCTTGTGCTTGAAAAGTGAGCTAGCAATTGAACTAGTCAGACTGAAGCCATTTTGAAAAGTCAGCTCTTGGTCTATATTTCTGAATTTTTGTAACATCTTTCTGCCCCACATATGGTGTTTTTTTGGACAGTATTCAATTCCTGTAGTGTGTGAGGCTGAATGGCTTTTATTAATCAAATATGAAAAGAAACAGAACTGGAGCCAAACAAGCAGAATGAAAAGATTGCAGCAGCAGTATAGAGCCAATTTATTGCCCTCATGATGGAAGAATGGTTTTCTAATTGTTCGTGAAAGCTAATGGAAACCATATTTTGGCTGTGAATAATTCTCAGGAGGGATCATTGTGAAGTCTTACCTCATCTCATACTTTACTGATAGAACACATCAAGTAGTCAAGAGCAGACACACCCCATGTGTGCTCAAAGTGCAGAAAACCACTGGTCAGTTCTAGGTACTAGAGAAAGATGGGACTCTTCAGGGGTGAGTGAGCTTTACTTGGCACATCATTGACCTGTCAGAGGCCAGTGCAGATTTACCTTCGTTATGGCACGTCAATTGTGGCAGAAGTGGATAACTGGCAGAGGGTAAAGGTTATGATGACAGAATCCAGGAGCCAACTAATTAGATTTTCTTGCCTACAAGACATCATGATATTGCACTCAACCATGTTGAGAGAAGGGGGTGTTTGAAAATTTACTCCAGTCAACATCATCTACTATTGAGTTACTTGTAACTAGAAATCGGAAATGCCACTTTTTGCATTTTGTCTATGGAATCTTTCCTAAATGTTATACCATTTCAGTTCCGAAGGTCTTTATTCCAGACTTTAGTAATAACAACCAAATCAAAGTTATTATCTTAAACGTTGAATTTGATCCACCTTTTGTCTTTCCGTGATGTGTATTAGTCCTTCTTGCACTGGGTGGGGCACTACCAGCACAATACAAAACAACAGGATTTCCAGTTGCCATATTTGACATTGGCATCACCCATTTATCCATCTTGGGAATGGCCTTTGTCTAATTTTCTTTCCAAGATCCCCTGAATAGGTAGTCATTAGCCTATGGTTAATTAAGGAAGTGACCAAGCTGAATCTTGTGCAGGTAGCTGACAAGCTGTGTTGTATTAGCTCCAATGGAAAGTCATCACAGCCATTATAGTGGTGTTTACAGAGCTTGGGGTCCAACAGCCTTTTTTTATTGGTTAGGGTTTTTTATAACATTAACAGAATCAGGGTGAACAGCACCATACGCAGATCCTTCAGCTCATTGCAATCGCAAAAAATGTGGCATATTGGTAATGGATGTCAGATTAGGATTTTTGTAACTTTTATGGGTATTTTTCACTAGGGAGTTAGTCACTGTGATCAGCATTTGTTTTGGAGTACTGTTTGTCATGAATCTGTATACTTTGGGGAAAAGGGCTTTGCTTGTTGAAAGCGTTGCTAAAGTCATTTTGAGTAAAGTCACAAATGAACTACACAGAACCCATTTCAGATGTAAGGAAAGATATCAGTATAAATAAGTAGGAAAGGGATCCTGACATATGTTCTTCAAAGGTTTATGCCTATTAAGCCTATTGTATATCTTAGAATTAGTTTTAATAATTTACATCATTAGCTCATAAGATAGTAACCCTGTTAAGTACTTCCTTAAGACAGTCATCTTTTTCCCTTGGAGGCTAGAAAAGCTTTTTCTGAAGTGTCATCAGAGCCTTTCTTAGGGGCTTCCATAACACCCATCAGCTGTGACTCACTATGTTTCTGCAGGTCCTTAAAAAAATAGTGTTATAAAACTTGCCTGTTGATATCAGCTGAGCAGGTGGTGAGCTATATTGTGTGCTCTATTAGTCTACACAAAAACAGGCTCATATTACTGTCACCTCCTCCCCATTCCCATCCCACCTGTTTGGCTCATCTGCCTCATTCTGCCTCATCTTATGACTTGTCATTAGTTTGCCTTGTAAATTCTTTGTGGCAGAAAGTTTTCATTAGATATGTCTGTATATATAGTACCTACCATGATAGAGCCTGAACCCTTGACTGAAGAGTATGGGCACAATTCCAATACGGATAATAATGCTAATGTTACAAGGCTCGCTCTCACACATTTCCTGTAGACAAGAAGCTCTGCCACAGAAACAGCTCCCTCTCTTTTTACAAGGTGTTACTTTTGACAAAAGATAGTTAGATTCAAAAAATCAATATAGCATAGATTTCACCCAATCTTTCAGTGATGAACAGGAAAGAAAACAATACCGTGAGGTGCTCAGGTATGACTTTGCTTTACTCATGGCACAAAACCACAGTACAATGTTGTAGAGGCCCATCCCTCAAGAATAAGACACATTCTGTGTTTTTGTTGTAGAATTCTTTATTTTGTTCACACAGAAGAATCATACTTTGTGCCTAAAATATTAAAGATTTTCAGTGACCTTTGCTACTGTAAATCATCATAGCTCTTGTTACTGCTATAGAGGTATGCTAATTTATATCTACTTAGTTATAGACTGGGACGGAATTTTGTTTTACTGAAAATACAGATTACAATAGTACATATGCCATTATGATGGGCATTTATAGCTACATAATGAGGAGATTTTCCCCACTGCAAGAAGAGCTAGTCTATGCAAATATACAGCCCAGGTATGCGATAGCTGTGGTGTTCTATTCTAAATAAATTTGGCCGAAGGATTTAAATTACTTAAGAAAAAGGAAAAAAATATTCCAAATGATGAGTAAGTATCATAACGGGTGCTAAAATAATGTCATACACCTACTTCATCATTCAGTTACTTACTTATTATGTTTATTCTTAAGAATAATGAAGTAAAAGTGTTTTTTCCCAAATGTTAATTTAGTTCCCTGCAGATGGTAACCATCTGTTAAATGACAAGCCATTTACAGTATTTGATTAGCACTTTATATAGCTTGGATGGACTTACTGTTACAATATGTAAGTATAGTTATGGAGGTGAAAGTTGTTAGATATGTTCTTTTCCTGTTGCTGTTACCAAAAAAATTGAAAATTTCAAACCTATCAATATTTTTGCCTGTCTTCTCCTATACTTACACATGTTATTTCAAGTTAAAGCCTGACATTCATAGGCCAGTTCACAAGATATTCTTGAGAGAATGGCAGTACTAGGAAATATTGTTAAATTCCAACACCACTTGTAGCAATTATGAGCGTCCTCATTCTACAGTGTCACCATGTGGATGGACTCTTATGGATGTTCAAGGAAAGCACTGGAAGCTCAAATGAATCTTAAGAATCATGGCTTATCAAGTGGAAAACTCCCTCAGGGCTGCGATACGGCTTTATATATATAGCAGCTTACACTGTGGGTCTTTTTTAAACTAGAAAAAAACCTTAATATTGCAATACACCTTAAAATTACCATCATAAAGTGATCTTCTTGTATGAACTGCATACTTTTGTATTCTAATACCTTGATCAATGACAACTAACCCCCATCTGTCCATAAACTAAGCAAGTTCTGATTCATTTCATATTGTGTTTTCTTCCAAAGTTTCTTCAAGTTATGCTGCTAAACCTTAATTTGCTGGCCCTGTTTTCATTGTTGTAAAATTATTTTACACTTTTATTTGTGTTTTTAATAAAATTCACTAGGTATTTTGATTTGTGTTTTTTATTTTCAACAGCTAAAAAGCTTGATAATGGCCCCACTACCGAATGCTGAATTAGTTCAGAACTCTTTGCAGTTATATCGTTACCTGCTTCGATGCTGTAAGCAACTTCCTGAAGAGAATATTCGCCAGCATTACAGACACGCAGTCAGGCAGGTGAGAAACAGATTTCTTTTCTGTTGGTAGAATTCAGTGTTGTGGGGTTTTTTTGTTTTTCTCTTCCTACAGTTTGGACCAACTTTTTATAACTCCTGGCACTTAAAAAATTATCATGCAAACTTGAAACATTAGTGGATTTGAAGGATTATACTCGGAGTATGTGAAGGAGCATTTCTTTTTGTTTGCTTTGAATGTGAAACCTTCTATTTTCCTTGGCTTTCATCTCTAATTCTTGTGTTAGTCAAGAGTGAACAATAATTCCTTACTCACCTAAATACATCTTTTATGGTGAAACTTAGTGGTTCCTTGTTGGTCATTTTTTTAATACACATATCCCACTCCTAGCCCCCCCCAGCTGGGTAAATCTCATCTAATTGTTCATATGGAAGTAATTTCATGCCTTTGATCATACCTGTTGTCCTGTGTCTTTCTAGTTTTAACATACCAGACAATTTCAGTTGTTGTTCTGAATCAAAGTTTTCTGGGTTTTTTGCTGACAACATATGAAAGGAGTAAAGTACTTAACATGAAACTATATTTGACAAGACTTGTTATGGAAATGGCACAGCCAGGTGCTACAATGTATATTTTTACCTTTTCAGATCAACAGTTTGTTTGCATCAAATATTTTCTTTGAGATTTAAAAGTGATCCTTATTTTGACAACTATTGTGTTAAGTTGGCTAGTCGGTGTAACGCTTTGATTGAATGTTGCAGAGTTTCAAAGTTCATGCTGATGAAGACAACCCTGAGCGAATCCAGCAGATTATTAAGAGAGCCATTGAAGATGCTGACTGGGTCATGAATAAAGTAAGTGCATCAGATTGTCTAAGTCTTGCCTCTCTCAGTTCGGAGCAAAGAAGAAAACATCCTAAAGCAAGTTAGGAACAGCAAACCGTTCCATTGTCCTGGATGTTGAAGTGTCTGGGTGAAAGGAAATACCTAGCCACTAGGGATTTATGATCATGATAGTTCTTGTTTAAAAATTCTTCTTTGTTGTTATAAACATAAGTGTATTTTTTTAGAACCACTGATGGTCTCTGTATAAATCTGTGTTTTCATGAAGAATTATATTAAATTTCAGCAGTGGTGGCTAGTATAACTCTATAATAGAGGAAAAAAACAACAATATTTTGCAAGCCACAGTGTATTGATATACATCAGCTGCTTTCCTAACAGGAATCTATCCTCTCTTAGTCAGTTCATGTAAACTCCCAGAACAATTCCCGCCCCCCCATCTTGCTTGTGGCTGTGCAAATCAGAGTTAGACAACATAGTGGCACAATTCTGGTAATTGGTTTACTTGTGCCGTAGTTATCACCCAGTGGATACGCCTCTTTACTATCACAGCACTGACAGATACCACTCAAACTGGTTTCTTAAATAAAAGAAGGAAGATTGTTTACCGTTAGACAGCTGAGTCACCTGGATTTCCTTGGATTTAAATCTGGTTGGGAAACATGATATGTTAACATGGATTTCTCAGAGTATAATGAAACAAGTCAAAAGTTCAGCTTGCTCTAAATATCTGTGATTTAATTTACTAAATGACCGTTAAGTCCTTCTCTCTACCAGCCCATGAAATCCAAATGAGAATTGTTACAGGAGCAAGCACAGATTAGTCATAGATTATAAAATTATAGCAGTAGCCAAATCCCAGCAGTTACAGCCTAGTAAATAACTGTCTGTGCCTGAATTTGATTTTATTCTCCCTACAATTATGAAAAGCCTCATTCTGATTCTGCTACAGAGACTGTAGGCTGCTTCATTGGAAAACTGGTAATTGAACTGTGTGAGAGAAGGATTGGATTCACAGTGCCTGCCAAGAAGCATTATTTTATACTGTAAAGGGAAAGCCTACCAAATTTCAATCTAACTTAAAGGAAACTGAGATAATTTTATGTAGATCATGAAGAGGGTTGTAAATCCTTGTTATTATGAACTGTTACTTTTAGTTATGTGCTCTTTCCCACAAATAATTGTTCTTTCTTTTTTTGTTTTTTTAGTATAAAAAACAGAAGTAGAAGAGGAATGATGAAGACAAGAATGTCATTGGTAAACATCCTTAGAGGACTTGCAGCCAAGCCCAGTACTGTATTATAGCTATTGCCTGGAGTTTTCTCTTAGATAATACAAATACAATAATTTATATCTCATTGGGATGTCATGAAGCTAAATTAATATTTCTGAAGCTATTTGAGTCTGTAGATTAAAAGGCACAGACTAGGTTCAAAGTATTAGCTTGTATAATCACAAATTTTAGCTTAAAGCCCAAACTTGTCTAAGATTTAGTAACACAGAGAGCTTTTCAGGAAAACTTACTGAGAATAAAAATGTAATGGAGTACAAGTCATTAACAAATAATAAATAGTGCCCTGTCTGTCGTTCATATCTGATGAATTACAGCGTCTCATCTGAAAGAACTTAACTAGTATCTGAGCATAAAGGTCTATACTGGGAGCCTGCAAACCTGAGAAATGCTCATTGAGAATCAGAGCAAATTTCTCTTTACTTGTCTGTGAACTAGATTGTAGACCTAGATCCACCATAGCATCGCAGTGTTTGATACACTTATTGCGTAGGTTATTTGGTGGCAAGGATAGTAACAGTGGATTTAAGTTTGCGTTTGTGTAACATTCTGAATTAGGGTAGTCAGTCTGTTATGCCAGATCATCCTCTGTCAGGATCATAGACATGCTTTGAGAGTGAAGCAGAGGTATGGCTGGAGCACAGGTCTGGTTTTAATCTAGTAGCAGACACAAAAGCATAGGCTACTGAGTGGAGAACATACCCACAAGAACTTTAAGCCCATCTGAAACTTGAACCACAGTATTTTCCCCTTGCCTGTCAGTGCTATGGGCGTTAGATCATTCTATTCTGTAGGTTTGCACTTGAACTAGTGGCTGTCTTTTCTTATTTAAAGATAGGTGCCTGTCACCCTAATCTCTAAACTCTTATGAAAACAGACACCATTTAGATGGGTTGTGTGCACTGAATGGTATAATAACTGAAATGTGCAATGTTGTACAGTTATAAAGGCCTTCACAACTTTTTGCAACATATAATAAATGCCCTTTAAAAATGGGAGTCCTTGTCCTTTTTAAAAAGACTGTCTTTTCACTGCCCTAATAGATTTTCATCAGGGAAAACTCAATAGAAATACTAGCTATCTTAAATAAAACTAATTTAGGGGTAAAAGTGTTTCCTTTTGAAATATGACCTTTGCTTTTAGCTGTACTTGGAACTTTCTGCCTGCAGGTGGCAGTGCATGCTGCGATGCGTATCCGAAGTCCTCAGTATTTGGGGGTTGGGTTTGTTTTTACTGTTTCCGAGTTGTTGGGCTTCCTCACCTGCCAAAATAGAGCTCAAGTGCTAAGGCAGATCTCTTTTAGGCTCCAGATTTTGTTTTTTTCATTCAGCCATGAAAGAAACAAAAAGCAAATCCTAGCTCAAAGTATTGAGAAGAATTTTTTTACAACGGCTATAAAAGAAATGGGGGCTGTAAGTTAATGTTTATACCATAAAGTACTGTATCAAAAAATTTCCTTTGTCTCTGCTAACCCTAAACCCTCCTTTTCAAGAATTCCTGCCCTCTTATTCTTTCCTCTGCCACCACCACTGTTGTTGTTCTGTTCTTGTTCTACATATTCCTTAATTCTGTTCTCTCTCATCTTATCTCTCTACCCCTCTTCTTTCTCTTCCTCAAATCCTTTTCTGATAGGTGCATCAGAAGATACTCAGGTATTATGCTGGGGCCATCCTTCTGCTTAATTTCAGATAATAAAGTGTGATGGTAATAGAGTTTCTCAGCAAAGTACGTGTAAGTTTTTCTTCATGTGAGGAAAACCACTTGTATTTTTACTTAAATACTTTTTTTTTAAAGTGCAACCATTCTAGTTTAAACTTTCAAAGTAAGTTGATGCAAGGGTAGAGCATAGAAAACTTCAACCTTGGCAGTTGACAAGGAATATCCAATATGAAACTGAACACTGTAATAAAAAAGCTCAAGTAGATTTGATAGAAGATATCTGAATGTGCTACTTTTAATCAAGAACAGCAAACAGATGGCCTGTGCTGTACTCCAATTCTATTGTATGTATTTGGTCTGTAGTATGGAGATGCACTGAGCTTTGTATCAGTGCAATACTGATAAGACTCAGTAGGATTAACAGCATATGGAAATGTACGAGTTTCCTAAACTTTAAGTGTAGTGTGCTCAACAACCCTCCATTGCTTTAATTGTCTTGCCTGATGTAGTGTGAGACATAATATTTTGTTCAATTACTAAATAGGATAATTGCATGTGTCTAAATCATTCTTATATGCCTGTTATTTAATTTATGGATAGTTCAAGAGAGAAAGCACCAAAGAGCTGGAAGGTGCAACCATGGCATGTCTGCAGCTCCAAATGTCTGAGGTGCCAGCTGAGATATGGGAACATCAGACCAAAGGTATGATAGATGTAACTGATATGGTAGGACCAGGATCTGTGAGTTTTAGTCTTTGGAAACTGGTAGAGCATGCAGTTTTTAGTAGGGTGCAGAGGAGGAACATGGCTGCTGAGGCAGGAGACACCATGACTAAATATTTTGACATGGTTTTCAAAAATAACAAACCCTTTAATAGAATGGAAAGATAATGTGAAGATAACTATCTCCTCTATGTAACAAATTCTTTTCTTGGTGTGGGGAGACACAATGCAAACAATCTACTTACTTCCTTGTAATAGTGAAAGTAACCCCAATGTCTAAGACATGTTTCTCTAATGACTGGGCTGAAAAGTCATTCAGCTGCATAGCTGAGGTTTTTATGTTTTCAAGACATTATACAAATTCTGTTCTTCAGCAGCATAATTTGAGACTAGAGATGTTATATTACCCTAGATGTAGATGAGAACCTGAACTCTGAAAAGGGATTTAGGCAGAGCTTCAATAACTTTGACCAAACTTATTATCCAGAAAACTTCTACTCAAAAGTCATTTAATCCTGGAGTTGCCCTAACTTACTACTTACTAACCTGTTTGACCTGAGAGTTTATACAGTAAATTGAGTTCTCTTCTTTAGTATCCAGGAAAACCTTTGAGCAACTCTCTGCCACCCAGCCTTGCTGGACTGAAGAACTGTTCTCTGTTCCACCAACAGAGAACATTAATTCGGTGTTAATGCCAATGTGCTAATGATTAGCTGCCAGTGGCTCTAACAGGGCCCACTGTGGGAAAGACTTACGCAGTTGCAGGTATAACTTTATTCCTGCGTCTCACAGGGGAACACTTCATTGATCAGTCTCCTCCATGGTTCTCTGATGGCACTTGCAAAGAAAATATAAACACCAAATAGATTGGTGCATATGTGTTTCCATATTCAGTCATCCAGAATCTCTGAAAATAAAGATGTTGGGTGCAAATTAAGTAATAGGGGATAAAAGAGACTGTGCTGTATTCCATAACTACTATTGCAAGTTTAAAAGAAAAAAGCTCACAGTGCTCATTAAGCTGTTGACGCAACAAAGGATAATGTCAGTAAAAAGGGACAAGCCTATTCTATTCACAGGGTTTAGTTTCTTTTTACTGAAATGAGGAACCCATTTCTGTACTTGTATATTATGCCAATTCTGGTAAGTAATGGACTGTTGATCGGTATATGCGATAATTGAATGATTAAGGGTCCATCAGAAGGTCATGTCAGTTTTTGTTGGCCCCACTAATAAGCACTCTATAGTAAGCATTCGATTACCAGCATCACATTAAGTGTGCAATAGTATCACCTGGCCTGAGGGTTTTCATTGTGTTTACACAAGTGTAATAACTACATTCTGGAAAAGTTTTGCAGCTGGTTACTGTAAGACCTTGGGTCAATAACTTCTAAGTACTCCTCTACAATTAGAGTGGAATTAACTGTTCAAAGGTTGTGTACAGACAACTCTGTCTGTTAAGCTAGAGAGAGGTTTTCACAGGAGGCTTGTTATGCAAGACAAACTTTAGAACAAGGAAAAGATGGGAGATTTCTGTTTAATAGCTTGGGATCATGCTTTTAATTCTTGAAGTACGGAGAAATAGATTATTTAGATCATGTTTTAGCTAAGGAAAATTAGAAAAAAGTTCTTAGTCATTAGCTCTAGGTTATAGACTTATCAACAGTTTAAAGACAGAACCAAATTTGGTGCTATACTTTCTTTTATGTATAATATATAAAATATTATATAAT